CCAAGCCTCCCCAATCCCTACCGAGGTTGGGAACTTGATGGTTCTGTGATAGGTGGAGACCACCGCTTGGATCCTGTTGAGGGTCGGGCGGCCGAGGATGACATTGTAGGTTGATGGTAGGTTGACCACCATGAAGGTGGTCATTACTGTTTTCGTCCTTGGTTCCTCCCCGAGAGTGATGGGGAGCACTGTGGTTCCGAGCGGGGAGATAGAATATCCGGTGAACCTTGTAAGAGTTGACGTCACAGGGGTAAGATTTTCCAGGGTCAAACCGAGCCTCCCGAAGGCATCGAAGTAGAGGACATTGGCGGAACTCCCTATATCAACCATCACCCTCTTGACTCGGGCGTTGGCGATTTGGACGGAGATCACCAGAGCGTCGTCGTGGTGGGAGCGCTCGACCTCCCCTACCCCAAAGGTAATTGTAGGCTCGTGCTCAGGCCGAGGACGCTTCTCCACCGTGCTGCGCGCGTAGGCCTTTCTTGCCGCCGCGCTAGTGCCGCCGGCTGCCGGCTCGCCAGAGATGACGTCGATCTGTCTCTCGAGGGGCCCTCTAGGGCACGGAGTCGCCTCCCGGGACTTGAGATAGCGTCCAAGGTGGCCTCTCCGGATTAGTGCTTCTATTTGATTGTGGAAGTCATGGCAGTCCTCCGTGTCGTGGAACTTACAGTATTTAGATTGGTCTCTGCGGGCGGCCTTCATAGGGCGAGGTTACTGCAAGAGGCCCGTCTCTTTGATCTGGAGGAAGATCTCGATGCGAGATGCGTTTAGGGGGAGAGTTGGGGGTCTTGGGAGCAGCAGCTCTTGTCGGTTGGGCCCTCGGCGGGGAGGCGTTAGGACCGCCGAGGCCGTTCCTCGAGACAGCTCCATCCTTGGCTTCTTGCTCTCCACATGCCTCCCCGCCACTAATGTCTCGGCGGCAACATACTGGTTGGCGCATTGGAGCACCTCGGAGATGGTCGCCGGCGGCTTCTCGATTAGCGACCAAAAGAACCTCGCATGCTTCAAACCCATCAGAAAAGCCTGCAAGATTAGAGAAGGATGAGTATCCGGAAAACTCCGGATTTCGGTGGAGAACCGTGCCACGAATTGAGAGAGTGACTCGTCCTCGCGTTGGGACAGCGCGAGCAAGGTGGCCATAGAGGGCCTGGGCCGCGCACTGGCGAGGAAACTTTGCTCAAATTCCTCGGCCAGCTGGTCGAAGGACGAGACCGAAGCTTGGCGCAGCCGACTAAACCACGTCCGCGCCGACCCCTTCAGAGTGGTTGGAAACGCTCGGCACATCCGCGCATCAGAGGCGCCATAGAGGGCCATCTGGGCCCGGAATACAGAGACGTGCTCCATGGGATCGGAGGCTCCGTCATATGTCTCCAATATCGAGAACCTGAAGTTGAGGGGTACCGGTTTGCCCAGTACTTCCTAGGTAAAGGGGGACCCGCCCGAGGCACACTCGCTGCTCTCGCTGCGCGACCTCCGAAGCTCGCGTTGGAAAGCGTCCAGGCACTGGTTAACCCGTGACAACTGGGCTCTGAGTGAGTCGTCCGCCGAGTCCGATGATATGATGTCGGGCTTCAGGTGAGATAACGTGGCTTGGCAAGGCGTGGGTGCATTTGGCTCAGGAGGACCGCTCGGGTCCGTCGCTCGCCCACAGGCCTCTCTGATCTCGAGCCATTCCCCAGTCAGGGGTTGCCGGGCTGGATCGATCGAGGGGACCGCCAGCTGCACGATTTGGGGAATGATCGGGGCGAGCGTCTGCATCATGCCCGCCATGGTCTGTACTTGCTTAGTTAGGCTAAAGAACGCCTCGGGCGTCACGGTCGGGCCCCCCAGGGCGAGCCCTTGGGGAGATAGTCGTGGGTCGTTGAACAGACGCCAGTAACGATCAGTCGTTAAAGCCGGTATCCTTCCGTTCGTAGGGGCGGAGAGGGCTTGTCCTTCTGGCTCGGCGGAAGGGAGGTCGGTCGGGGGCTCCCTCCCGAGGTGAGTTCCTGCCAGTTGTTCCTGCGACATGGGCCCTCCTTCTAGCGCCAAACTGTTGGTGAACAAATGTGCCGTGACTGATGAGTCAGCACGGCTAGGCCCACCTGCCGACGTCGGGAACCTCTGGCGGAATTATTGAGTTGATGAAGTGGTGGCACCCTTCAAGCGTCTTAGGCGCCGGTTGAGGTGGCAAGGTCGGCCAGAGCCTCGCTGCGGGCCAGCACTCCAACTTCCTTTCCAGGATTAGAGATGGATTGTACAGTGATCCCCAAGTAGTAACCCTGATGCAACTCATCAAAGAAGGCAAGACACGACGATTTTGGGTCCAGGAGGGACTCGTTTACACAAAAGGGAATAGGGTTTATATCCCTCGAGTGGACAATTTAAGGCGTGAGCTCTTAAGAGAGTGTCACAATTCTCTTTCGGTTGGACATCCAAGCATTTACAGAACCTTGGCTCTCATGGAGAGGGCCTTTTGCTAGCCGAAGATGGGGATTGATGTGGAGGAATATGTTCGAACGTGCCTCACTTGCCAACAAGACAAGGTGGAGC